TCATTTGGGCGCTTAGTTTTCACCTGTGTTCCCTAGTGCGTGTGCCCGTTGTGTTAAATAGACTGTCTTTATCAACCCTGTCGATTCCCTTGAGAATCTTGAATGTGGTGATCATGTTCCCCCCCTAACTCTTCTGTCTTCCAACGAAGTGAGGTTAAATTCCCATAGTCTCTCCTCGTAGCTCATACCTCTTAGCTCGGGTACTAGTCTGGTAGCAAACTGTGTGTGTGTGTGTGTGTGTGTGTGGGGGGGGGGGGGGGGGCTCGCACTTGTGGGCTAAAATCCGTCCAGCAAGTGGTGGCAAGCTTCCCAGCTAACCAGAAGTGAGCTGGCCGGTCAGTTTTGGTGGAGGACTGAGCCAAAGGGCGCTATTGACAGGTCTGGTGAAGGGAGCACCATGACGGAAAACTGGTGCTGACCGACCACCTGCTACTTTGTTTGGTCTCTCAGGTATCTGAATTAGTTTGTGGCAAACAAGTGACTTTGTTATAAGTTTCCAAGTGTAAACGTGTTCCTAGAGGCACATACCGTGACACAGTGGACACATTCAGATAATTTTGCCACATTACGTACCAAATTATGTGGTCTAACAATGGGCATATTCAGATAATTCATTAACATAAAAATGGCAGTGAAACTATAAAGGGGTGAAACTAAATCTGGACTTTTGCTCGGACAATATAGACCCCGTAAGAACTGAAGCTGTAAGCGTGCCTGTTGCCCAGGCTTTAGAACCCCCTAAAAAGGCCTGAAACCAAATCTGGACTTTTGTTTAAAACCAGAAAGCCCGGACTTGGCATCATTCCCTCTACTGATAAATAATTCACACGGTGTATTTATGTAAAGAATTTAAATCCACCAAGTCTTTTGCACTCTGTTCAGTGCATTATTGGGGTCTGAGTGCACAACTCATCCTCCTGTTTACATAGTACCTATTGTGACAATCGTCAATAGTCACGAATTCGTTGTACCTAGCTTTAAGATAGTGGTATACTGACTAATAAGGAATTTGTTTAAATAAATGAAGATAAAATAATTAAATATTCCTGAGCCTAGTATAGCACACATATTAGGCCTTAGACATCATGTATTAGGCTTAGGAAGGTTAGGTTAGTATAGTTTGTCAAAGCAAGTATAAAAAAATATTTTGCAGTTTGTCCAACTCAATAGTTCAGATTTCTACTTTCTAATTTCGTTGTAGTTGGGTATATATATACTATGGTGCTCATCACTACTATATGTACTACCATAACAGGAGGATGGGCTGGAGTACATGGTCTGAACAGGATTTACATCTCAATGCCCAATCGTTGGTCGCCGAGATGCAAGTCCTGTCCAACATATACACTCGGACCTTGATAACGCAATGAGCAGAGTGCGAAAGACTTGGTGTATTTCAGTTGACATAGACTACATAAATACATGTGTGGATTTCTTATTCTACAAATAATTATTATGGCGTTACTGTCATGACTGTTCCTGTTAAAGTAATACAAGCGTGGTGGAAGGCTCCCAGCCCGTCCTCACAAGTGGCCACAACCTCACACAAATGATGTACTAAATTGCCAGCTTCTAAAGCGGCCGAGAAGACACCAATGTAAAACGTGATATCGCGTCAATTTCGCGAGCCGCTGTGATGTGCAGTACATTGTATTTTGACCATTGAGGGATATATACGTCAAAATGGGACGTACTATTCTAGGGGTCCACCACTGTATGGTCTTCCTCGTCCGTGAAAGGGTGTATGTGTCCTCGTACATATCAAATAATTATATGGGAAGTTATGCCATTATAAGGGACAAGGAATCCTGTTAGGCTTAAGCAGATCCCCATGGCTAGAGGCGAAGCTGGTCGCATGGTCACTCATCCAGTCACTGGCCAGACCAAACGGTGAATGACTGGTTGAGCAAGGGACAAGGCCTTCTGAAAGTCCTGTATACAAACAACTTTGGTAACCTTGTTGCATGGAAATGCTCTCACCTAGAGGTAAACATTTTATATATCTTATATTTAGAACACTTACCAGCTTAAGCAGTGCTTTACTCTCGGTGGTCAGACACCACTCCCAGTCTGGTGCATTATACCGGGAAGAGACGGGAGGCCTCTTAAGCAAAATGCAGCCATCTGGTACTAAACCTGTGTACAATAATCTACTTGATCAAGGCACGATTCAAAGGGGACCGGGCCCTTACCCGGTTATAGATCCTGGACTTGATCCCTACAACAACTACTGTTGCACCACTGGACGTCGTCGACGACGGAGAACCCCAACTGCTGTTCAACAGAGCCGCAGCATTACACGGGCTGTTCGACCACACCCTCTCTGTTCCTGAGGCGCACATGATCCTCACCCCCACCACCTCACTACCTAGCAGCCAGGACGGTGTTGAGAGAGTGAGCTCCCTACTCGCTGCAAAAGCTGCCACCGACGTCGTCATTAGCATTAACGAGCAGAACCCTTCCTTGACCGCTGTTACTGTTAAGTTCATTCCTGTACATGACAGCCATCTCTTCCTTTGGAACATGCTCTTGCTGAATAACAATAACATGTTATCATACATACAGATTCGAGAACTGCCATTGAAACCTTGCAACAAGAACACACATGTGACAACATCAATCTGATCACAAATGTCATGAACAAATCCACAAGGACCGTGATGAGGATTCGAACCTACGTCCGAGAGCATCCTAGACGCTGTATTACCATGTCGTAGCTCAGTCGATTAAGGCAGCGTCTGGGATGCTCTTGGATGAAGGTTTGAATCCTCGTCACGGCTCTTGTGGATTTGTTCATATGATGCATCACGCTATTGTGATTTCTGTGTAACAAATGTCATATCATTAGTGCAAACACTCAAGCATCAAGGCCGTCGGGTACTTATCAACTGGGTGCCAAGTCATGGGAATAATAGGAAATGACATTGCAGACGAAGCTGCAAAACTTGCAACTAAGAGAAGAAATGTGGACATTTACATACCACAGAGTCTATCACAGATTAAGAAAGTAATTATAAACAGAGCAATGCAAAAGATGTACAGTGACCACAACACAGCAGTTGCAACATCAGGATCTGAGGGTTGGTACAAGAATTCAACCAACTACGAACCCCTTAGTTTGATGAAAGGGAGCAGTAGAACAACAGAAGTACACTTACATCGCATCAGGCTTGGATACCCATGTACATGGGAAATGGGCTTACAGGTTTCGTAAGATGAGAGAAAATGTCAGCACTGTGGAGAAATGCCCGACAGACCACTGGAATATTATCTAACACAGTGCACAGTTGTTACAAACCCATTAAGATTTTAACTAAGATTCAACAGAGCAGAATAAGTTGTTAAACACGTAGGACAAAATCTTACTAAAGCGACCATACGAGTCATAAATACTCATACTCCGCCCAAGTAAAACAAAACCATTCAACGCTTAGTGGGCCAGCCAGAGGCTTAGGGCCCAAGCAGGAATGTCCCTACCAAAAAAAAAAAAAAGCCACCTCTCCACCATGAAGGTTACCTTTTCATCGCCTGAAGAAGCTACCTTTGCTGTTGACAACGGCTTCCGGTGCTTTGGTATCGCCAGCACACCTCGCCAGATCACCAAGGAGCACAACTACTGTCGTCTCCGCTGAGTGCCGCAGAAGACTTGAAGAAATAAAGAAGATGTCCGACGCCAGGCAGGCCTCCTAGCTTAACTCTCCTTGCATCAATGAGTTTCAACGTTCACGCCGCCAACTTCCCGGAGCTTCCAGGAGGTGGAAGAGCTAGTGTACCTGCAAGCCAATGGGGGCCCGGCTCCCAGTCCGCCGGCCACTCATCGACCCAGCAGCTGCCACCACACTCCGGCCAAGCATCAAGCCAACTTTCACAACAGGTGCCTGCTCCCAACACCGTTAATAGTACTGTTTATGCACTCGCATTCCTGGCTGACAAGATAGCGGGCCCAAACTTCAAGGAATTGGTCCGAATTCTCAGCAAACACTACGATGCAAATGGCCTCCCAACATATACTGTTCTGGAGGACTTCCTCATGGCTTCAACGTCTGCTACTACAACCTCTTCAGCTTCTGACATCACCGTCTTTCCTGTAGTACTCGCTGATCTGTCTCCTCCTGACCACCCCCCATCGACTTGCACCGGCCACGCTGCCTCCTGACTCTACCGCTCCTACACCTCCTCAGCATGACATCTCAACTGACTCAATGCAAACGTCTCCAGTACTAGCACCAGCTTATTTGTCACCTGACCTCCGCTCATCATCGGCTGATGATTCTACTGCCTCTGTTGATGTTGAAGCTCGCTCACCCGAGGCATCGAACCTCGAGTCTCCTACTGTGCAAGACCTGTCACTGCAACGAGACAAAACCGCTTATGGATCTCCTGAATTTAGGAAATGTGACAGCCGAATCTACAACAAGCAATATGAAGAACTCGGAAAGCACGACTCGGAACGGGCACGTGGGACCCACGTTCCTGCAGTTGCCATCCTAACTGAGTGTGACGAGTCCACTCTCCTACCAAACCTCATCCTTCCTGACCTGCAGGAACTAAAAGCTCACCATATGCAACTACGACAACAGAGAAAGATGATGATGATGACGATGACGTAAGAAGAAAGAAGACACCACCAGAAGACAGACTGTCACTACCTAGAATGAAGAAGCACCGCCAAAGCTGCCCTTTCTGACCCGAATCAGCGCCTAGTCAGTTGTGGTGATGTTCCAGCATCAACTCAAGACACGCAACTGGGTTTAGCCCTGACGCTTTCTCTACAACTTAAGCACTTCCTCTCACCAACTTCTCCATAGTTGTCCCCACTTCAATGCTCGCCCAACGAGTATCTTATCCTGTATCTTCGTTCGTTCGTTCGTGCTTAAGCCCTAAAATATATAAACATTACCTATGTAACTACACCATATAATGTCACACTTGTACCACAACTTTGTGTTAAGGTAACATTACCTTAATAACTACATCATATATATATAATATTCTTACAGCACAACTCTACTCTATCCGGCTGATGTCATGGGCGCGCGTCCTGTGCGAGACTGGCGACATGTTGGGCTACGTCCAGCCCCTCGCCTTCCTCCGGCCCCGAGGACTGTGAGTTATAATATATTATGTTGGGTTAGGTCCAGTCCCTGGCCTCCGTCTGCCTGTGAGTTACTCTCTATATTGTGTTGGGGTTAAAATAGAAGATTGCAAGCTTGCAACACACAGAACATTCTCCCATGATTAATTAAGAACATAAGTACATAAGAACAAGGTAACTGCAGAAGGCCTATTGGCCCATATGAGGCAGCTCCTATCTATAACCACCCAATCCCATGCTGGACACGTTCAAGTGAATTTATATCCATTCTATAGTATGGCGACCAAAACTGAACTGTATAATCTAAATGGGGCCTAACCAGAGCAAGATATAGCTGAAGAACCACACCAGGTGTCTTGTTACTAACACTTCGATTAATAAATCCCAGTGTCCTATTTGCCTTATTACGAACATTCAGGCATTGATCCTTTTGTTTTAAATTCTTACTAATCATAACTCCCAGATCCCTTTTGCAATCCGACTTCGCAATCTCAACACCATCTAGCTCGTATCTTGTAACTCTATCATCATTACCTAGTCTCAGAGCTTTACATTTATCAGCATTAAACTGCATCTGCCAATCTTTTAGCCATTTCAAAACCCTATTTAGATCAACTTGAAGTGAAAGTGAGTCTTCTTCCGTGTTAATTTCCCTACCGATTTTTGTATCATTTACCGATCATAACCACCCAGTCCCACTCCTATACATGTCCAACCCTCGTTTGAAACAATCGAGGGATCCCACCTCCACCACGTTACGCGGTAACTGGTTCCACAAATCAACAACCCTGTTTCCCAACCAGTATTTTCCTAAGTCTTTCCTAAATCTAAACTTGTCCAATTTATACCTATTATTTCGTGTTCTGTCTTGTGTTGATACTTTTATCAGCACAAGATAAACATAATGGGTACAATCCCATTATTTGTATTAGCGCAGGAGGAAATGATGTTGGTCGAGTTAGGAGTGAGGAACTGATTTAGAGGTATAAAACAGCTATAGAATTAGTTAGGACCAGAGGAGGAATCCCAATCATATGTGGCAATCTTCCAAGAAAGGGAGTGGGAAATGAATGGATGTCGAGGGCACTTGGTGTCAATTGCCGGCTGGAAAGATATTGCAAATCAAATGCAATATCTTTCATAGACAACTGGGAACGCTTCTATGGAAGAAATGAAAAGTATGCTCAGGATGGGGTGCATCTTTCGAGGGCTGGGGTTGTTGCTGTTGCGAACTCATTGGAAGAAGTGGTTAGAGGCATTTGTTTGGGTTTAAACTGTTAGTAGATAGTGGTATGGGAATTGATATGGAGGAAGGAGGTAATAAAAGTACTGTATGTGTTTGTGGGAGAAAGAAATTGGGAAAATGATCAGGGAAAGAGAAGGGTCTCAAAATAAAAATACACTTAGGGTATATTACACTAACAGTAGGAATCTAAGAAACAAAATAAACGAATTAAATGCTCTTGTCTGTACAGAAAAAAATAAATTAATTTAAACTATTTCACACTGATAGATATATTAGACGAGGAGGGGAAGTAACCATATGTGTTAGGAACATGCAAGTTGGAGAAGATTGGGCGAAAAAAGCTAGTGGAACATCTGGAGCGAAGGAACTTTGTAACACAGCATCAACATGGGTTCAGGGATGGCAAGTCCTGCCTCACAGGGTTACTTGAATTCTACAACCCGGCAAGAAAGAAAGGGGGGTGGGCAGACATCATATTTTTGGATTGCCAGAAAGCCTTTGACACAGTACCACACAAGAGACTAGTGCACAAGCTGGAGTGAAAGGGAAGGTACTCCATTGGATAAGGGAGTACCTAAGCAACAGAAGACAAGTCACTGTGAGGGGCGAGGTCGGAGATTGGCGAGGCGTCACCAGTGGAGTCCCGCAGGGTTCGGTCCTTGGACCTATTCTGTTTCTAATATATGTAAATGATCTCCCAGAGAGGTATGGAATCGTTCCTCTCATTGCTGATGATGCAAAAATTATAAGGAGGATTAAGTCAGAGGAAGTTAGTATGAGGCTACAAGATGACCTAGACAAACTGAACGAATGGTCCAACAAATGGCTATTAAAGTTCAACCCAAATAAATGTAAGATAATGAAACTAGGCAGTGGAAACAGGAGGCCAGACACAGTATACAGAATGGGAGATGAAGTCATTCATGAAACGGACAGAGAGAAAGATCTAGGAGTGGATATCACACCAAACCTGTCTTCTAAAACCCACATAAAAATAATATCTGTGGCGTATACGAGGCTGGCTAACATCAGAACTGCCCTCGGGAACCTGTGTAAGGAATCAATTAGAACCTTGTATACCACATATGTAAGACCAATCCTGGAGTATGCGGCCCCAGCATGGAGCCCGTACCTTGTCAAGCACAAGACGAAGCTGGAAAAAAGTTCAGAGGTATGGCACTAGGCTAATCCCAGAACTAAGAGGCATGAGTTAAGAGGAATGCTGCGAGAAAAGCACCTTACGACACTGTACGACAGAAGAGTAAGGGAAGCCATTATCACTACTTAAACAAATCTCAGAGGAATTGACAGAGATAAACTGTTTAACACTGGTGGGACGCGAACAAGGGGGGACAGGTGGAGACCGAGTACCCAAATGAGCCACAGGGACGTTAGAAAGAACTTTTTCAGTGTCAGAGTAGTTAACAAGTGGAATGCACTAGGCAGTGATGTGGTGGAGGCTGACTCCATACACAATTTCAAATGTAGATATGATAGAACCCAATAGGCTCAGGAATCTGTACACCAGTTGATTGACGGTTGAGAGGCGGGACCAAACGGAATATCTAAGATGTCAGTTCCAGCAGACTTGCTACAGGCTCCACAAGCAACCTCTGCACAACAAGTACAGTCACCAAACGGCATCAGCAACAGCAACTACGACAGTACCTCTGGTAGCGGCACCAACAATAGGGCTAGCAGCACCACTAACCCCATCGCCGACTACCTCAGTAAACCTCACTTCGCCGAACATGGCCCAGCATCACCCAATGGCAGCCCCAACCTCAGCTACCGGCACGCCATCAAGCACAAAGACACTGCTCAAGGTGCAACAAGCCCAGACCACACCTCCAGGTGCAGCAATAGTACCGGGCATCGAACCAGGCTACATCAAGGACCGTGACATCGCCCACATCGAATCAGACGACGGGAGAAGTCCCTGCCATGGCATCATGGTCCAAACGGAGGGGTTCAGGGGTAACCTCACCACCAGACAACAGCTGGCACACATGAGCAACGAGATCATTTTCCACAAGGACTCTACCGAACACCCGCTAACAATGTTCGTCCACGTCAACTCCATGCACTATTGCTTCGACCTCTCGATCCTGAAAAAGGAGTACCACCACCCGGCCTATGCCCTCGTATACCCCAACGGACAATCCGAATTCAACAAAGAAGACGAGGATCCAGAAGGAACCGAACTGTCGCAATTGTTGGGCACAAGAATGAGTCGCCACCTCGGGCAGAACCGCCGACCATCGAAACCCTTGCGCTAAAAAGTGCACTGCCACCATTGGGAAGACGCCGCCTCCAAGCCAGACAGAGCACCTCACCTAAGCCTCACCGCCACACCACTAGCCTATTTTTTCAGTTTCAGCCCTGCTCCTGTGCCAGTTAAGTACACTACGGGCTCACCATAGCCCGTGCTACTTGGAACTTTTTGTTCCCAGTAGCTGAATCTAAAACACCACCACCACTAGCCTCTTGCCGCTGAATAAGAACTCACGGTCAACAACGACAACAAAGCTCTAAGCCAAGATCTAAACATCATGCCAATCCATGGTGGATAGGCCACTGATCTTCGAGTCTCTTCTCTCCACATTCAAATCATCTTCCACAATTTCACCTCCTCCCCCATCTTTTCCAAGCCCTTTAGACATCAAATCCGAATCCTATATAATCTCCTAAACCAGAGGATTAGTCTGGTGACATACCTCCGAACTTTCTCCAGCCTGTGTTTGATTACATGAACTCCACAGCTTAACCCGCATACTCCAGGATTGGACTGATATATGTGGCATTCAAGGTTCTAAATGATTCCTTAGACAAGTAGGATGTGAATGTATTTAAGAAGGTTGCAGGATGTGTGGAGAATGGGTGTGGGATGTGGATCCACGAACAATTTATGTAAAGCTGTTGACTTTGTTTCTTTCAGGAACGAGAGAGTTCCTTGTGACAGTGCAAGCATCCCGGGCCTCGACCTCTCGCCTTGGCTCTCCAAGACATAGCAATACTGCCGTCTACACCCAGCCCTGTGGCCACCAACACCCCCACAACCTCCAGGTGTTGCAACACACGGCGCCCCCCCGACACCCAGCCCGGCGCCCCCCGACACCCAGCCCGGCGCCCCCCGACACCCAGCCCGGCGCCCCCCGACACCCAGCCCGGCGCCCCCCGACACCCAGCCCGGCGCCCCCCGACACCCAGGCCCTCATCAAAGTTTTCAATTTATAAAAAAGCTTTGTTGCTCAATGCCGAGGATGAGAGGCCGCCAGCCCGGCCACACCGCCCAGGAGGCGCCGACACAGCGGCGTTGTTCCTCACGTTCAACTGTTATTCCAAAAAGTCATTTACTTCAAAATGTTCAGTAAAGCTTTTCATTTGTTCAGTTATGTTATCCAGTACACTTGGAGTTATTGTCATATCGCCATAATGACTCGCATATTGTTTCTTCACACGACCCCAGCCCGGTGTCGTAATTTCTTGCCACTCCGTAAAAAATCCAACCTTTTAGACCTCAGCCACACAGGTACGACCCCAAGCAACCCCAAACCTAACCCATCGAGCCCCTTGCATAGAAAACGTAGATATTTGCGAGTCGTTACTTTTATTAATGGGTTGTATTTTTACCGTTGGTTAAGATAACGTAAAGAACGCGACGATATAGTGGATAGGACGGGCTCCAACTACTGGTCCCCGGCACACTTGTTGACAATACCTCATGTGACGCAGTTCTCTCTCTCCTGCTTCACTTCCTGCACCACTCTGAGTTATATCACTGATGGCTTTACATTATTGTTGAGATTATACAAGATATCTCAGACTGTGTCAGCTGTGTTATGGTGACCTACACACAACACCCGCCACAACACCCGCCACAACACCCGCCACAACACACAACACCCTACCACAACACCCTCCACAACACACAACACCCTCCACAACACACAACACCCACAACACACAACACCCACAACACACAACACCCACAACACACAACACCCACAACACACAACACCCACAACACACAACACCCACAACACACAACACCCACAACACACAACACCCACAACACACAACACCCACAACACACAACACCCACAACACACAACACCCACAACAACACCCGCCACAACACCCACAACAACACCCACAACAACACCCGCCACAACACCCACAACAACACCCGCCACAACACCCGCCACAACACCCACAACAACACCCGCCACAACACCCGCCACAACACCCACAACAACACCCGCCACAACACCCACAACAACACCCGCCACAACACCCACAACAACACCCGCCACAACACCCACAACAACACCCGCCACAACACCCACAACAACACCCGCCACAACACCCACAACAACACCCGCCACAACACCCACAACAACACCCGCCACAACCGCCACAACAACACCCGCCACAACACCCACAACAACACACAACACCCGCCACAACACCCGCCACAACACACAACACCCTACCACAACACCCGCCACAACACCCGCCACAACACACAACACCCGCCACAACACCCGCCACAACACCCGCCACAACACCCGCCACAACACCCGCCACAACAACACCCGCCACAACAACACCCGCCACAACAACACCCGCCACAACAACACCCGCCACAACAACACCCGCCACAACAACACCCGCCACAACAACACCCGCCACAACATCACCCCGCCACAACACACAACACCCGCCACAACAACACCCGCCACAACACCCACCACAACACACAACACCCGCCACAACACCCGCCACAACACCCGCCACAACACCCGCCACAACACACAACACCCGCCACAACACCCGCCACAACACCCGCCACAACACACAACACCCGCCACAACACACAACACCCGCCACAACACCCGCCACAACACCCGCCACAACAACACCCGCCACAACACCCGCCACAACACCCGCCACAACAACACCCGCCACAACACCCGCCACAACACCCGCCACAACACCCGCCACAACACACAACACCCGCCTCAACACACAACACCCGCCTCAACACCCGCCACAACACCCGCCACAACAACACCCGCCACAACAACACCCGCCACAACAACACCCGCCACAACAACACCCGCCACAACACCCGCCACAACAACACCCGCCACAACACCCGCCACAACACCCGCCACAACAACACCCGCCACAACAACACCCGCCACAACACCCGCCACAACACCCGCCACAACACACAACACCCGCCACAACACCCTCCACAACACCCGCCACAACACCCGCCACAACACCCTCCACAACACCCGCCACAACACCACCCGCCACAACAACACCCGCCACAACACCCGCCACAACACCCGCCACAACACCCGCCACAACACCCGCCACAACACCCGCCACAACAACACCCGCCACAACACCCGCCACAACACCCGCCACAACACCCGCCACCCGCCACAACACACAACACCCGCCACAACACACAACACCCGCCACAACACCCGCCACAACACCCGCCACAACACCCGCCACAACACACAACACCCGCCACAACACACAACACCCGCCACAACACCCGCCACAACACCCGCCACAACACCCGCCACAACACCCGCCACAACAACACCCGCCACAACAACACCCGCCACAACAACACCCGCCACAACACCCGCCACAACACCCGCCACAACACACAACACCCGCCACAACACCCGCCACAACACCCGCCACAACACCCGCCACAACACCCGCCACAACACACAACACCCGCCACAACACACAACACCCGCCACAACACCCGCCACAACACCCGCCACAACACCCGCCACAACACCCGCCACAACAACACCCGCCACAACACCCGCCACAACACCCGCCACAACACCCGCCACAACACCCGCCACAACATCTACATAAGACATACCTCAACACCAGATTCAGTATATTATTATTTTGCTCTCATGATATTTTTAAGTAATTGTCTATATAGTTACATCTAACTCATTTATGAATTAAGATGCTGTATATTTTAGTAAGTTATATTTAGTTTTCTTAATGTAATCTATTTATTTGTAATTAATATAGAAATAGTTTTGCAATAAAAATATTTTGACACAATTGTTTTTTTTAATTTAGCCAATACGCGAACAATAAATTAAATAAAGGAGGAAACAATTAAAAAAAATACCAAAAATATATTAACAAAATTATGCATTCTGAAGTAAGCCAATTCAACTTACATTGGTATAAGCTTACCATTTGAATTAGTTTATATATAAGGAAATATAGAAAGTAATCGCAGATGTAAAGAATACGGCTCAATGTCAGTTACTCGTCGTCGTCTGACCTTCCTCAGTATAGGCAGCTTAGTGAGAACTTTTGGTTTTCAGGTCAGACACTCTTCTCTAGACCCACATCACCGGACCGCCGCCCAATTCGTGACCGTGATCCAGAGAATCAGCAACTAGGAGACCCTATAACACCAGAGGAAATTCATGTTGCTCTCAAGGCTAGTAGCAATGCTGCTCCCGGCCCAGACACTATCACTATACGTTTACTTAAAGCTATACCAATCAGGGTGTTTGCAAAGTTGTTTCATCTGTGGTTGGTAAACGAATCCCTGCCACAACCTTTTCGCAAGAATAAGAGTGATGTTAGCTAATAAACCTAACCCAGACTCTCCTTCCCATTATCGCCCCATAACCATGTCGTCTACGATAGTGAGGCTGTTCCACAAGATTCTGAGCAGCAGACTCTCCGAGGCAGTCAGGATCGACAGGCGGCAGAAGGCCTTCGTCCCTGTGGACGGATGCCCTGAAAACCTGGTGATCCTGGATGGCCTCCTTGCTGAAGCTCGTGCGCTCAAGAACAACACGCACCTAGCGTTCCTGGATACAGAGAAGGCTTTCGATAGCGTCTCCCATCCGGCCATCCAGCGGGCCATGAAACGTAAAGGCATTCCGAAGCCTTTAAGGACATACATAATGTCGGGCTATGATCGGTCCTCAACCATAAAACCAGCCAAGGGGAGAAGTCGAAGGACATCCTGATCACTAGGGGGGTGAAACAGGGTGACCCCCTGTCTCCATTTCTCTTTAACCTAATAATTGATGAGGCAATTACTTGGGCTAAGGACTTGAGGCTAAGGGTTGGACTGGGGAGCGAAAAGGTATCAGCCCTGGCATTTGCCAACTATCTGGTTGTTGCAGCAGAAACGACTGCCGGACTACAGAAACTTATAACAAGTATTTACCACACACTGCGTGGCTGTGGCCTTAAAGTAAATGCTGCGAAGTGCCGTATGCTAAGCATAACAATCGATGCTTATCGTAAGACTTGGCATGCTCCCACCAGGAGGGCATACTACATCGGGGACGATGAAATTGATACTATGAGTGTGGCGGACGAGTATAAGTATTTAAGAATACTTATCGGGGCCGGGGGCAGACGCCTATCTATGGTTCCCTGTTTGAGGACGGCCTGACGAACATCACCAAGGCGCCACTCAAACCCCAACAGAGGCTATACCTACAAAAACACCACCTAATTCCCAAGATGAACCACCGGCTTGTTCTCGGACGCACAGAATTAGCGAGGCTTGACCTGAGGCATGCCATTCATGGCTGGCTGCGACTGCCTCATGATTATCCTAATGCCTTTTTTCATGCCGACGTAAAGGATGGTAGACTAGAAATTCCCGACTTTGCTACATCAATCGGCCTACATAAGAACAAGCGGTTCGGGGCACTGGTAGAGTAGGAGGATCCAGTGGCTCTCCTACCCGTATTCCAAGCGTGAATGCATCGATGGGTAGACCCGACCACAGCCGCCGGAACCCCTACTAACAAAACGACTGAGCGCTCTAGAAGGTGGAAAGCAAAACTGTACAGCTTGGTTGATGGTGACGGCCTTGCGTCCTCTTGTGAGGTTCCTTCCTGCCACAAGTAGGTCGCATCCGGTACCCGTCTGCTAAGTGGAGAAGATTTTGCTCATGCCATCCAGATCAGGGCAAATGCTGTAGCCACTCCGTCTAGAGCAGCTAGGGGTAGACCCGAGACTTCTGGGCTCTGCGATGCCTAGAGCAGCTAGGGGTAGACCCGAGACTTCTGGGCTCTGCGATGCCT